TGTATTTGAACAGTGTAATAATTATTGGTTCACGGTATCTTCTCTTTGGAGATTTAAGTTGGGCTATCCTCTATTTTGTCAGGCTACACCATAAGTAATGATAGTGAGTGATTTGCGTGTTCGTTTCTCTTGTTCTTATGGGATCTCACAGATCTTTGAGTAGATGATCTCGCAGCTTTTCATGCGCATAGTTCAGAGTTCAGACGCGAGATGCTTGGTGGGACGCATTTCCCTTCCGGTTATGTTATGTCTCTTGGGCCTCCTTGGGTTGGGCCTTTGGTTTTGGGCTCGGAAGGAAGAGGAGCATGATATTTATTTATAAGGGATGCAAAGTGGGACGAGACGTATTGATTCCAAACTCGCATTAGTACTGGCGTACTGCCTTACAACGAGATGAGTTATGCAAGCTTACATATAAAAGGGAAAGGAGATAAGTGCATGGCCTAATAAAAAAATTCAAAAATATTATCATCTTACCTAAATTTTAAGAACTTAGAACGGTATCGGTTAAAATACAAATTCGTTTTCGTCGACCTTACGGGGTGCATATTTTTTCTCTTGTTTGGTCAATCCTTACTGCGTGCGCGTCTTAAGAAAAGAAATTTCAAAAAGGTTTAAGCCACAGGCAAGGCCCAAATCAATCCAAGTTGAAACATCCTTCCCTTGCTTTCCTGGCCCAACGCTTTTGTTTTAGTTTTTTCTTCTTAATTTACACCCACCCAACCTTTTGAGTTTTGACAGCATAGTAGGATAAATAACCTAGAAGGAAAGTGGTAATTTGCTTTTCAGCTGAATATATTGAAAGAAATAAATAAGAGCATAACTAAAAGAATCTTCAGCCAAAAAATATTTGATCCAGTTTAAATGTCTATTAAATAGTAAATGAGATAAAATAATAGATTGAAATATATATATATATATATATATATATATATATATATATATATATATATATATATATATATATATAGAAAAATGTTTATCTTTTTAAATGACACAACTTATATCATTTCATTCTCACAAAGAGGTGGGACCCACACTTTTATTATTTTTTGATCAACTCTCTCTCCTCCTTTATCTATCTCTTTCTCTCACTTAAAATGACATAACTTTACATCCTTTAAAATGACACACTTTACCCTATATACATATATATATATGATAAGATAATATGTTTACCTTTCTTTCATGCCTATTCAACCTACTTATCTCCACCACCGATATATTGGAATCTCGATTAATCTTCACAATTTCTCTCTTCTCTTGAGATTCTAATCTAATAAGAAGTCAAAAAGGAGTAGATAGAGTAGCTAGTTATGAAAAAGGGTTTATTGTTTGTCCTTCAAAATGATGGTCCTTTTAGATAAATGAAGTATGTTTTTTCAAATTATAAATTATAAATTTTTCCCTCCACTCTCTCTTTCCCAAATTTGTTTCTTTATCTCTCCTAAAAGGATATAAGTGTGTATCCTTTAAAAGGATACACACTTTTCCCTATGAAAAAAGGTAAACATAATATCCAATCCATATATATATATATATATATATATATATATATATATATATAGGATTATGTTTATCTTATTTTACATGAGATAAACAATTCTCCTACACACACAAAAAGGGGTTGGGTCCCACCACCCTTTTTTTCCTCTCCTCTTATCTGTGGGTTCCACGTATACTTTTATTTCTACAACATGAGATAGTTTTTTTCCTACAACATAAGAAAAATATATCCTATATATATATATGAGGTTGATCCTTTGACATCTTTGACATTTCGTATGAGAGCCGTTAGATCAAAAAAGATCAATGACTCTAATTTGTAAGCATGTGACACCATTGATCATTTTTGATCTAATAATTATCAGATGAGGTGTCAAAAGATCCTATCTCTTTATATATATATATATATATATATATATATATATATGGTCTTTAGAGTGGTGGAATAGAAGTTTTTATTTTCTTATTCATTGAATGTTAGCGAATTCCAATTCTTAACCTCCTTTAAGACCCGTTTGGTACATCTGATAAGATGGATAAAATAGTATAAAGTATCCTATCATCTCTTTATCTATTGTTTGATGAATTAATATGATAGGATAGACTTATCCTAGTGACTTCTCTTATCCTATTCAAATCTTGATAACTTATCCCATGGGAGCTTGAGTTAGAAAGTGACAGGATAGGATAGATTTTTTTTTTTTTTTTTTTTTTTTCAAATACAACCTTGTAACGTGACAAACCCCTCCTCTACCATCGATGCTGCCTCTGAACACCCAAATCAAACTTACTACCTAGTTTGCTCCACCATCAATGCTGCCACCGCGGTAGTGGAAATTCTCATGAACCGGCTCCAGGGCACCAACAATTATGCCGTGGCCCTCAAATGCCTAATCGTCGTACACCACATCATCAAGCATGGAAGCTTCATCCTTAAGGACCAGCTCTCTGTTTACCCTTCCCCCGGCTGCAGAAACTACCTTAATCTCTCCAATTTTCGACACAACAACAATCCCATATCGCGGGAACTCTCGTCCTGGGTCCAATGGTTCACCCAACACATCGAGCAACTCCTATGTACTTCAAGAATTCTAGGATTCTTCCTCGGAAACTATCCATCGGAAAAAGGAGAGAGTTTCGGGTTAATGTTCTTCACTTTTTACCAAATTGAATACGGGGTTAATGTATACTTTGTTCATTGTGAATTTAAGCATAAAATCCATGACTAAACCTAATTAACTATGAATTCCCCCCCAAAAAAAAAACAGTTATGAATAAAGAAGAGATTTTGCTATAAGGTATGTAACATTGGCAATTTTGTTTTGGTCAAGAACTTCAATCTGGGTGAAGAAGATGTATGGTTTACAAACCACTCTTGGAATGCTTTGATTGCATTATTTATGATGAGAACAGTTTTTTGTGCAACTTTATCTGTCTAATTTACAATATTTTGTTTATTGTAAAAATAAATTTAAAATTTAATTTTTAAAAAATTATATGATACTCCATTAAAAAGGGTATTATAGTCTATTTTTATCATATCATGATGATATCTAGTTCACCTCAAATACATGATAAGATAATATAATCATATCATATTGCTAATCTAGTGCACATGAAACATAGGATATAATTTCTGCTTATCATGCCTATATTTTTTCTTATCCAACTATCTTATGATTTCCGTCCTTATCTTATCATATCCACCAAACAAACGCATGTAGTAGAACAAAGAAATTCATGAGATAAGCGAGTTGTACTTGTCAAAAGGCATTTCAGTGAGTGAACCTGGACAATCCTTAGGAGGCAAAATTGAAAAAATATTTGTTGATTACTCTTTGTTTTATTCACTGTTATGATAGCCACACATTTTAGCAAAGGAGCTATTCGTGCTTTTTTTTAATAACAAAATTGTAAAAGATGGAAAACATGATGTATGCGAAATCTTAAATTAACTTATTGAAAAAACCAGTAATTAACTTGGAAATTTAAACCAATAATTGGTGAGAAACAGGCATTGGCAAAGGAAAGAAAAAAGCACGCAACTACTACGGTGTAAGCATGCATTTTCCTATGAAATCCAGATATATGATGTGGAATGCAGTAGTTTGTAGACCAAATATGACAAGAATCAGGTGAGAGTGCAAAGAAACAAAAGAAAGTGACGATTTATCATCCACCATATATCTAATTGGTTGATCATATATAATAATTCAACCTCGCAACTAAAACGATTCCCTATATCTAACTAAGCATTGCATGCATGTATATGTATACGAGTAGTGTGTTTAATTAATTTTACAAAGGAAATGTTTAATTTTACTTTACAGTTTTCAACAGAACGAATAAATGACAAGAAGGAAAGGGGGGGGTTAGCTGCATCAATTGAGAAATCTTGCACGTCTCTGTCTTTCCTTGCGAAAGTATATTTTTTTTATGACGGAGAACAGGAATATTTTTCTTGTTATAGAATTCGTGGTCTTTAAAATTGCCGCTTTGTATCTAGGTCTTCTTTATACTTTACTTTAATTATTTTAAATTTTTATTACGTGGAAAAATATAGATTAGGGAATGCACACCCTCATATAAGGTTAGAATTAAAGATCACTAACCTTATTGAGGATTTCAAGTGTAATTACATATAACTTTTTTTTTTTTGGTAGACATAATTACATATAACTTATTAAAGAGGGAAAACTGCGAATCCAACCCAACCTTATAAAGATTCGACCAATTTGTACCAACCCTCATTGGCATTATGTTAAATTTTTAAATCCTGCGCGTTTAAGATATGGGAGAAGACATTAATTTTCAGCTTTGTAGTGCCAATTCAGCTGTTTGAACTTTACAACGCATGCAACGAAAATTGCGAGGAGGAATATATAATGGACCCACGGGTATTGTCTACGAGCTGTCAATTGTAGGGTTGCATTTTTCCTATTATGACTAATCTATGAATGCGTAAAAAACAAGAAAATAAAATTAAAATAAAAAAAACTATGAAAAGAGAAGAATTGAATATAAGAAAATTCAAAGTGTTTGCACGTGAACCCACCATTGAAATTAATTTGTCACCTAGAGAAAATTTCATTGATGTTGCTATACCAGATTAGAAAATGGGAAAAATAATGACAAATTAATGTTGATTGAAAAGTAATAATTAATTTAAAGGAATAAAATAGTTACAATTATTAGGAGAAATTATTCAATTGTAATTAGAGAAATCGGCCAGTTAAAACTAATCTTAATGAAATCTCAATAATTAATGTTAATTTCCGTGTGCCTACCCAGTTGTTGATGAGCATCTAAACTGAATTGAATAATATTCTTTGGCCTTTCCTTCTATTTACATCTATATAACCGCCAGAGCATCACAAAAAGTCAAAAACAAATTTAGAAGAATCAAATCTAAAAGGAATAATCTCTGTGTACAATATAATATACGTACTGTACGTACCTATAGTTATAATATATATAGTTATAAAACTGTGCATAGATTTATATATATACAGAATCACATGCAATACAATATCTTTATTTTTCTTTCTGTTCTGTAGAAAAGAAATTGGAAAAATGAACTAATAACCAAGAACTATATATATCCCACCCAAAAATTAAGGGGTGGGAAAAGAAATGAAAGAATTAATCACCAATTAGAGATGAATAGAATAGAGGATAATCAATTAATCATCACTATCAGCTAGCTACGTTCACCGTTTCTCTTAAAGACCTAGTACGAACAAGCTCAGTGCGCTTCTCCTCCATTCTCTTGCTTTTAGGATGAAGCAACTTGTACCAAAACCCAGTTTTCTTGGCACTCTTCTTATTATGATTATCAACACCACCTTCATCTTCACCTTCACCGTCTTTTCTTCTTCTTCTTCTTCTTGGAACAACAGCCATTGACCTGCTTTTGAAGAGTCCACCATGCTTGGAACTCATCAGAAAGATGGAAACCGAAGAGCCACTCTTACCCTCGTTAGAAAAAGGGAAAGGGTGCATTGGAGAAGCACAAGAAGAAGCCGAAGAGGAGGAGTAATAGGAGGACAAAGAAGAAGCAGAAGAAGAACAAGAAGAATAACCAGAGGTTGTTGTTTTACGTGAGTAATTAGAAGCAGATAATTGAGAAAGCTTATCCATTAAACAAAGAGAACACACTCCTGGTGATTGATGGTGTTTAGGGTGCTTCTTGCATCGACCATTGGGCTTGAACATGCCAACCATGTCTTTCTCCTTTGAAGGTTTTCGTAGGTTTGCCATTCTTTAGGTTTCTTTGTCGTTTGGAATGTGAGCAAGTTGGTTCATATATAGAAGATATGAATGAGCTTGCTAGGTCATGAGGATGAGGGGGTGTGTGTGTCTTTCACTTTCCGTGATAGTTCATGGGAGCTTCCTCAAAATGGTCTTTTTGACGGTTTTGTAGAAGTTGAAAAATAGACTTCGAATTCTGTGGAGGGTTAAAATGAACGACTGTGATGGAGCCAGGTGGCTTGAGTCGGTGGTTTCGATTTGAAGGGTCTCGAGTATGTGGAAAAGGCCAAAGCGTTTGTCTGGGGCGGCGTGGAAAATCTCGGATTTTTAAAAAAGGGTTGGCGTGGACAAAATCAAAGGAACCATGCTGGTAAACGATGAAACGTGGCCGTTTTGTACTGCTATTGACTGTTTGAGGAAGGAAAACTTGTTATTTGGGTTTTCTGTAATTTATTACTTTATAATTTTTAATATTTATTATCTGGTTTGGCAGGGACCCCACCGAGCACAGTAGTTCTCAGTGATTAGCTGGTTTCTTTCCGTACAACCAATGGTACGTTGCCAACTTGCCATGCTTTGAGACAGTACTTGTTTTTTTAATTCTTGTTTTGTGACAGGTGTACAGTGTACTTTTGTCAACCAATATGATTCATTCTGCCATACTTTATTTCATTTAGGTGTTGTTTGGTCGGAAGCTTTTCGGCGGATATCTATCTTTCTCAAGTATGGCTTTTAGAAATACCATGTTTATTTCAACGTTTTTCACCAAAAACCCATCTATCCAATTTGTCTGGATTTATGAGAAACATAGATATCCGCACTGTTTAGAAACTCAATTTGAAGGTGGGATTTTTCAGAAAATCGATTATCTGGCTTTTAATGCACTGTTGCTTTCATAAAGTTACCTAATTTTTTCATTTTTATCCACCAAACAACTTTTTTTTACATTTTTCTACCTATCTCATTTTATCTATCTTTCAAATCATTTCTTTATCTATTTCATTTTCCTATTATTCTAAAAAAAATTCCTGAACCAAACGGCACCGACGAATTAGGAGACAGTTTCGAGTGGAGTGTTTGTTCCGTACTCTTAACTCTTATTAAGAATGAAAAAGAATTATTCTTCTGCGTAACATTTAACTCTTGCTTTTTAAGGGGGGAAAAGAGTGAAAAACAAATAAAAAAATTATTTCCCCTATTGGAGGAGAAATTATTTCCCATCCAGCAGAGAAATTGAAATTTAAGCCTTCTTTTATAAAAAGATAATAATAATGGGACTCACGTACATTAATATAAAAAAAAATTAAGAAAAAAATATTTTTCCTTTTAAAGGATATAATTTTATGTCATTTTAAATTCTAACCGTTGATTTTCGTCAATCAACGGTTAGAATTTATTGGATTTTATTGCGAATTACTAATTAATTAATAAGTTTGAGTCAATAAATTCTAACTGTTGATTAACAGAAATCAAAAGATTTAAAATGATACAAAGTTATATTTTCTAAAAGGACAAATATTTTTCCCAAAAATTAATGCCCTAAAAAATTGTATTTTAAGAATTCAAGTCACTATTCGATATTCATAAACTTCACATAGGACAAAGTATTTGATCTGGACCCAACATAGGAAAGGGTAAGGCCCAACAAAGTAAAGGCCCAAAAGGCTTGAGCTTTCGTCGGCAACTTAATTGCACTATGGCAACATATCCCTAGTACAACCTATATCGCGAGAGAAACACTTATCTCGCATATACTTGGTCACCAAGTCAGTAATACTTAATGTATAAGAAATCATTATTATAGGAGTTAGTAGCTCATCAGCAACTCAGACAAGTTAGTCACTTCTAAAGGCCAATAAATCATTGACAACTCCAGCTTGTCACCATACCTATGAACCTAAAGGCTTACCTATTAATGAATAACCTGAGAAAGGCCACCCTTCTCGATCAATCAAGATAAATGTCGCCTAATGAAAGGACGATGACAAATAAGGCACACAACAACTATAAATACTGAGGTCATTAGTCCAGGTATGATATCTCACTTTGAATATTAAAAATTCCTTAAAGTGAAACTGACTTGAGCGTCGGAGTGCCATTGTAAGTACTCTCATTCGCTCATCAATCATTCAAAAGATCCTGGTGAACCTTGGGTCAATCTTGTCGACATTCCATCCTATCTCGCAAGGACATCTAACAACTACATCCTCATTCTCTTTCTCTTCATTAACTTTCAGTTATCTCAATCGTGTGTTGGAATGATTAGTAATATAAAAAGATTTTTTTAAATTTTTTTTAATAAAACTGTAATTATAAGTTACTTTAAATACAAAATAAAATAATTTTGTATATAAAGAGTGAAATCACTTATTTTCACACAATTATCATTTTTATTTTGTATATAAAGAGTTCTGCAACATATGTCTTTCCGAAATGAATATGCACCAACAATATGGCCATTCTGATATCTTTTTCCCCACCAATAGACATAGTAACTTGATTGTCAATCTGATATTTGTATATGGGAATTTGTTTAATCAGGAAATATTCAATTTTTTATACAAAAATCTATGTGGGTGTTGAACTGTTGATCATACGTAAAAACTACTGTCTATTTAAAATTCTAGTGCACAAAAATAATATATAAATAAGAAATAAGCGTACTTTTTTAACGCAGTAGCCTTTGATTAACAAAATATTACTAACGACTTGCTTGTTTTTCTTTGGAATTTGAATTGCGAAGGGACAATAAAAAAAATCAGAGGAATATGAAAATTGACATGGGAATTTGCACTTGTTAGCACTAAAAACTAAAAAGGAAAAAAAGAAGAAGTGAGGGAAACATGTATTCTATAATCGATTTTATAAGAGTTATATTGTAGAAAAAGTGATTGTGTAATGTTATAGAGATCCATTTTGCGTGCCATAATTTTTTTTTTTCCTTTAAAAAGCCGTACAAAATATTGTGTGTGTAAGAAAATTTTTCTGATCATGTTAAAGGGAAAAAGTAAAACCTCTTCTATAATATATTAACAATTCAAGGTTTGGTAGAGACAACTGTTTATGGTCAACAAATCTGGGACAATGACATTAACATCACGAGGAAAGAGGCCCTTCGCTACTCTTCTGTGTTGCCAATCCCATACTCTGCCCCCACAGTTTGGCGCTGCCGTAAAGTTAGCTTATAGTACTCCATATGACCATGTTGCTTCAGCTCTTTCTTTGGCCGTTACATTATTTACGGGGTTTATATCTGTAATGTCACAGGACAAGACTCCCAATTTCATGCAGACACAATATTTGTGGGGTCCGCTTTATTTTTTTAAAAGAAAAAAGAAAGAAAAAAAGCTGGCGTTGTGTAGGTGCAGGAAGAAAATTTTATATTCCTGTAACATAACTCTTCAGTTTCCCTTACTTTAATCTTCTTCTTTATTTTTTTTATCCGGCCAAGGGCAACGTTTTCTTGATGCTTAAATGAGCTCTCTTGATGGAAAAGGGGAAATACGTGCTACTAAATTCAGTGTTATCTTTTAAATTTCAGATCGTTTCAAACGTTTTTCATAACGTCAGAGACAGGTATTCTTTCTTTGTCGACCAATATATATCCCATTGAAGTGGAATCCAAATCAATCAACCTTTAACTCTCTTTTTCTTTTTTATAAAAGCAAGAAATTAAAAAGAAAAACTCTTTTATAGTGAAATTGTATTTAAAGCGAATAAATAAAAGTATATCTACTATTAAATTTTAATAAGTTATTCTGCACAAAAGTTAAGGAATTGAATAAACTCTTAACCATTTACCTTAAATATAAATCTACTTAAGAAATCTTTATTCAAAAAATAGATATAGATAAATCAACTTTATCTTAAGAAAGATTTCGGAGACTGTAGTATATAATTTAAAAATATCGCTGCACATCACGGTATTCAGCAAAAAATTGTGGACAGGCAGTCACTTTATATTGCTATAAATTACTACTCTTATATATTGAGAATGTATGTATCAAATTATACGCAAATGAACACTCATGAATAGAAAGAAAACCTAGGTTTTTTTTATTATAAAAGTAACGGTGACTTGGTTAGAAGATTGAAATTGTCTCAAATTCAAATCCAAATAAACGGGCAAAACAAGGGCGTGCTAACGTGCATCAACAAACATCAAACACCAACCGTCAACCTATAAAATTTCAAAAGAAAAAAGAACGAGCAGTCACTGTTCCAACTCTTCCCAATGGAAAAATGTCTGCAGCTACAAAGAAAGTATCCTATACTACTCTACTTGGTTATTTAGTCATTTGAGAAGCCTCTGAGGTATTGACTTCTCTAGGACACTGAGATACATATGGTTTGAGCTGCATAAAAGAATGAATGATATGAATCAGTACTAACAGAGCATGAGATAAACTATATCCATAATAGTGTTAAATTTACAGAAATTCTAGACCCCTAATCACTCATAAAAGGAAATAATCTATTTTATAGCTTACGGTCATTTCTATAAAGATGAACCCATCATTTTTTCTCATGTTACAGAGTAACGTGGGGATGGTGAGGCTAAAAACAGTGACTCCATTTTCAGATGACAATAGCAGATATTTTAAGCTAGACCATGTCAATGGAAGTAAAGACAAGTACTAATAAGATAAGAGAGAACACAGTGGAATTAAACAGAAAACCACATCACAAGAAACAAACATCTTGGTTCTTGGCATTGTGGTACCAAAACAAGGAAGCTGAAGAAAAGTTTAGTAAATAACCATCACTGAGCTAAACTATACTAATAAAGCTCAAAAGAGAGAGAAGAATTAAGGGAACAATGTCAAATGTATTATTAAAGGAGCACCGAGTACAAAAATTATCCAGGCAAATGTCAGTACGGTAAACATGTGGAAGAAAAACAAGTGAATAAAAGACAAGATAGTGATGAGATTAAATTGGGGGAAGATGCAAACCTTAAAATCAGTCAAATCAGGGACTACATAGTTTGGCAATTTTTCTTGCACCAACACATACCCACCTGGAACAATATGCAGAATTACATTCAATTTGACAGTATAAAAAATACAAGAATGATAAGTATGTAGCTTAGCAAATTATTTTATTACAATACATAAAATATGATTCATGGATTAAGGAAAAACTAACTTAGGTAAGCAAGGCCGAATTGTATAAATACAACTTCAGCAATGAATCCAATGTTTTTATAAAGCCACACTTACTAACTGCAGACATCTAGAACATGAGAAGCGACCAAATTATTACCAAGAAGACCACAACTTTTTAAAGTTGGACATAGAAATGCAAGTAATTTCTCTCAACCAAACAAAAAATAGATAAGGACTAAGAACTATGAGCCCTCAAACTAAAGATCAAGTAAAAACAAGTGAGCGTCTTTCATACCAAGCAGTCATCTTCAATCAAAACCACAAAAGAGTAAAACTAGACCAGGATTTAAAAGTCACAAGTTTTAGACTTATATTAAAAAAGACACAAGTTTCACTTTAAAACATTAAAACATAATATTTATCAAACAGTAGACACTTTAACCTTGCATTTACAACAATTAAGAAGATCCAGAACTCGAAAATCTCTATACTAAAATTATAAAACTTTAGTAAGTAATTCAGCTAGTGTAATCACTAATCAGCAAGCATCATTAACGCAGACATAGCCCCTTCCTATTCAACATTTTGATTGTCTATTTGCAAGTATAATAGTAATAGTAACCATCAAACACCATGACCAAGTCAACAAATATGCCCCATTTGTACCAAAACAAAATATGACATGCAATCAAGTAGTCCATCAAGCCCGAAGACATATTAATCAAAATTCAGACCAGTACAACAACAAAAATGTATTCTCGTTCAAGTTCAAGTGCTAGTTAAACAAACAAACAAAGATGAAACCACAAACTTCAATTGAAGAAACAAACCTTTGCGAGTGTGGAAACCAGTAGGCGTGCAATTCTTGCCCTTGTAATAACCTCGAGGAGCACGTTTTGGCGATAGAATGTCAAGTGAAGACGTTCGCTTCCTTCGAAATGCTCTTCCTATTCCTAAAATGAGCCCCAGCGGCATCTTTTTCTACAAGAGACAGAACAAACCAATTATCACCAACACCAAACACGGATATATTGCAATCAAGGAACAACGTATAATAACAACACAGATTAACACCGATTATAAATAATCAAAAGAAGAAAAACCTTTTCCACATCAAAACTATATTATGTGCTCAAATGGACGAAGGTGAAACAGAAAAACTATTTGATTGCTGAGAGCTAGGGTTAATTTGGGGAAATGAGAACTAATGAGAGGGAATCATCTACACTCGAGTGCAACACCACACAATCGCTGACTCATTGTTGGGTTTCGATAGCAACCAGCAAGATGAACTACGCTACTACAAGTGAATTTGTTAATAGCTTCAGATCAAGAATCAAAATGAGAAAAGGGCTTACCGTGAGGCGTGAGCTGTGAACGGCGAAGAACAACCGGAATGGGCTGACCGGAGGAGAAGTAAATGGCAGCTCCGGTAGGGTTTCGCTTGGTTGACGGAAGTCGGGTACAACGGGGCGGGTAGGGATCACTGCATTCAAATTGAAAACTTGAGCTGTGATATATGCGTCCAAGTCGGGTCGGGTTAGTTATGCTATTTACATTTTTTTTCAAGTGAATAATCTTGTAGCCAACTTTACGTTAATTATGAAATTGAGAACTTGCACTGTGATATATGTGACTTTTTTTTAAAAGAAAAAAGAAAAAAAAATCAGTTGTGCTTACACTTTATCAACATAATTCTTATATATTTATGAGTACATTCCCAATATAGTAATAAAAAAATTTAAAAAAATTATTTAGTCATCAAAAGATTAGCAATACAAAGGTGTTAATTGGCTCAGTTAGTAAATCCTTTGCTGATCCGAGATCAAATCTCATTCATCTTTTTTTTTTCTAAATGTAACGCATGTCCTTGAGGGGGTGTTTGGTTGAGGAGAAATTTTATGAATAATGGAGAAATGTTATACATAGGAAAATAGTTGGAAAGTGAGATAGGTAGGAAAATGTAAAAAACAAGTTGTTTGGTTGAGAAAAATTTTACCGGCGAAATTAGATAACTTTTATGAAATTTATGTTTGGTTGTAGGTAAAATATAGATGGGAAAACAAGTTAGTTTTACGAAAATAACCTTGTTTTTAAGGTACATAGAAGCTGCTGGATTACATATTTATTCATACACATCGTACTACGCTAACTGCTGTTTTTGTTGAGAAATTCGTTCCCTCAAACTCCAATGTCAAGCAGGTCCAGGGGAAGCCCGTGGCGGGGAACCACCACCAATGAGCTAAGGCTACACCAACCGTAGCAAGTGGATCTGACACCATGTCTCAACCCAAAACCTTAAGGCATTGGGTTCATGGGTCCTTTCACTTATATACTCTTTACTTAGCTCATTACCAATCAATTTGGGACTCGTCACACTTGAATATTTCAACAATCTCCCCCTCAAGTGTGAAACCCACCATTGGTATGCTCTCCCTCAACCGAGTACCCGAAGGGTAAAGTACTCGACCCGCCTCCTAGCCAATCACTAGGCTAGCTCGAGCCCAATCCGGCTCTGATACCAATGTTGGGAGATTGAATATCCACACATAGATGCAAGAGACAACCACACAAAGCGTATCTATAAAAATAGAAAATAGAAATGTGAAGAGTTTTCAAAAGCTCGTTCTTGAAAAGGGAACTCATGGAGAGCAAAGGGAATTTTGCAATTGGTGCATTCAGACATTTGTGGTCCAATAAATCCAATTTCTAATGGAGGTAAAAAATATTTAATTACCTTCATTGATGATTTTTCTAGAAAAACGTGGGTTTATTTTTTACAGGAAAAGTCAGAAGCTTTCTCTACATTTAAAAATTTCAAAGCTCGTGTGGAGAATGAGACAGGAAGGATGATTCAGACACTTCGCACAGATCGTGGTGGCGAATATTGCTCAAAAGAATTTGAAGTTTTTTGTGAAGAACATGGCATCCGAAAAGAGCTTACAACTGCGTATACACCACAACAAAATGGTGTATCAGAGAGGAAGAATAGAACCATCCTCAACATGGTTAGAAGCTTGTTGGTAAGAGGAAGAGTTCCAAAGACGTTTTGGCCAGAAGCAGTAAACTGGTGTATTCATGTCTTGAACAGAAGTCCAACCTTTGCAGTTCGAAATATGACGCCAGAAGAGGCTTGGAGTGGGAGAAAACCAAATGTGGATCACTTTAGAATTTTTGGATGCATTGCATATGCTCTTGTCCCGGAACAGAAAAGAAAAAAACTTGATGACAAGGCTGAAAAATGTGTCTTTCTAGGTGTAAGTGATACATCTAAAGCATATAAATTATTTAATCCACTGACGAAAAAAATTGTGGTTAGCAGGGATGTTGTTTTTGATGAAGAAAACACTTGGGATTGGAATATGCAGCAGCCTACCGAAGTTCTTTGTGATATTGATTCTGAACAAGAGCAAATTTCAGCATCTAGTATGCCTGAAAATTCGTCTATTGCAACTTCTTCAGCTAGTCAATCCTCACCAACAGTAGTTGGAGTTAACGAAGAAGAAACTCAATCTCTTCGTCGTGTTAGAAGAAGGCCTGCTTGGATGGAAGATTATGAGGTAACTGGAATTGAAGATCCAATTACTCACTTTGCTTTGTTTTCAGAATGTGATCCCGTGACTTTTGAGAGTGCTGTCAAAGAAGAAAAATGGCGAAAAACAATGGATGCTGAAATTGATGCAATTGAGAGGAATGATACTTGGGAGTTAACTGATCTTCCAAATGGACACAAAATCATTGGTGTGAAGTGGGTGTTTAAAACAAAGTTAAAGGAAAATGGTGAAATTGACAAGCACAAAGCACACTTGGTTGTCAAGGGGTTACTGTGGTTGAAGAGGCCCAACGTGCTATTAATGTAGCACATGTTGAATCTGAAATTATTAAAATTGGCATAGGTGTTGTAAAACTAATGGGACGTTATAGTGATACAGATACTGATCAGTATGATGACTTGTGTGAAGATCATACGTGTAAGAATGGATGTGGAAGTATATTGGTGGATGAGGTCGACAGAGAAAAATTCAAGAATGTCTATCTTCCACCAATGAAGGAACCGCCGGACAAAAAAAAAAAAAAAAAAAATTTGAAGAAAGGAGTGCAACATGGAAGCAGCGCGGAAAAAATCAACCGGTGGAAAATTCAAAAAGAGAAGAATTAAAATTTAAGGGGGAGTCCTGTTGGGAATGGTACGGGGGAGCCCAAAACCCTTTGCAAAGGGTATATCCACCAATGGGCCAAATGACAAACCATAACAAGTGGGCTGACACCACATCTCAACCCAAAACCTTAAGGCTGTAGGTTTATGGGTCTTTCACACTTATATGGTCATCACTTGGTCTATGTCTTCTCTATGTGGTACTTCTTTACAACTCATACTTGATTATTTCCAACAGTTTTGCCATTTGTAACATAGTTCACGACGACAAGAACCACACACACTTTACATAACGATCTTTTCTCAAGCATCATTTATCCTTCATCATCAAGCATTCACAACGGTTCCACCTGAAAAGGAAAAAAAAAATTGTTATAAAACCCATATAACGACCACCTTCTGATTCTGGTGTAAAAAAGCAACTTAGAAGCATAAAAGTATCATTTTATCACCGTTGGGGTGGAGGACTTGGCCAGTTATGTAAGAGGAGCATTGGTTGCAGGCAAGAAACACATAGAAGGGAGCAACCTCAATAGGCTGGCCAGCTCTCTTCATTGGCACATTGACCCTGTTCTTACTCGTGACATCCATGACATCATTATGTACAACGTTGGACCTCTTATTTCTGGTACTTTGGTTGGTCTGATGTATGGCCAAGTCTTCATGCACCTGTGATATTTTCACTTTCGCGCGCTAATAGAAGGGTAGGCTCGTCATATGATTCTTGCCCATTGTGATGATTTAGCTAGATAACATGAAATACCATATGGCAAATGGGAAAATTTAGCTGGCTATTTTCATCAGATAGACATGCAAATGGTTAAGCTGGCTTTTCTGTTTAGGTAGGCATATCTTCAAAACTCTTTAACCAAATAGGGGCACTCAATATTCCCACTTCTCAAATGCCTATGCATCTCAAAAAAATCCTCCAACCAAACACACCCTAAGTGACGTGAATAAAGAGTAACTTCAAAAATACTTTGATATAAAAAGGGTTTATTTTTTCTAAAGTTATTTTAGATAACTTTATCTAATGTTCATCGAAATGACGTTATTCTGGGCAAAAATCATGGTATTTTTGTAATTTTAATTTATTTCAGAGTTATAATAGTCTTTATCATTCTAATTTTTTAATTTTTTAACTCCAAAACGACGTCGTTTTGATGAACATTAGATAAAGTTATCTAAAGTAACATTAGATATTTTTTTTCCATAAAAAAAAAAAGTATCATCATCAAACATCACTGTATAAGTGATAAAGAATTTATGTCCCTGCAAACTATTCTCTTTATAGGATTCGACAATGCTCGAACCAAACTAATCCGAAGAATAAATTGATTGAAGAAACTAAAAAAAATGTATCATCCAAAGACTAAATTTACATAATAAATTTTCGATGATTAAATTGATGTTCCAAGGATCTTAAAAATCTGTAAAGGAGATTTATTATACTTTTGATATATACTATTTAAGTTATATTTGTGTATAATTTAAAAAATAGGAGTCATCTCGATTCTCGACACAATTTGTAGACAGTTTTTGGGGGCAATTTCTTCAAAACTAGTTATGTTTTGCAAAGCAAGATATTTGGTGTTATGAAGAATTTTTGGTGAGGTTTCCCGGCGAATAGAACAAACTCTGTAGAAGTATGCAATTGCTCCATTAAATCTAATAAGTTCAAACACCTGAAAGACCTAATGCCAAATCATACTCTAAATTAATTTGCATATCTCTTCAATGCAACTTTCATTCTATCCATCGTGTATACATTTGCGTATCTCTTGAAAAAAAATGATATTAACCTTAATTTTGTCTGAAGCAGCATAAGCAGGATACAAAATTTTTGCCGCAAGAAATCATACTCTAAACTAATTTGCCTATCACTTCAATGCAACTTTCATGTCTGTCTGCATCATTTTTACCTCATTTAATTCTTCAGACACATTTTTGGAATCATATTCTTGGCATGATGAAAATGGAGCACAGCAGGAAGAGATGTCCACTCCAGCCACCTCCATAGCACTGCATACCCATTCAGGAACATCACCTTTCGGGAACTGCAATACAAGGACACAAGGTCTAAAATAACCACTTGACAAATATCTCAGTGGATTGCAAAAATAATAATGTTAATATAAATATAAAATGGATTTCAATTTCAATTTCAAAATAAAAAATGATTGATGTAATTTTAGCCAATAAATCTCTGGATACTAATGAGTTTTATTATGCTGTTTTTCGAACAAATGGGGGTGTTCTGTAGTTTTTTAAAATAGAGCAAAAGTCTATCTAATGTGCTCAAAGGAAGGTTGATGTAATTTTCTCTAACATACCATTTTCTGTAGAAAGTCGCATACAAACCTACAAAAAGTCAAAAATTAATATGGTTATTGGCGTATAAAGAAGAAAGGAATTTCTTGCACGGGAAGTATTAATTCAGATCAAAAGTGAGATAAAAAAGAGAGAAAAAAGGATAATTAAATATAAAGGTAAACATACTTTGGGAACCTTCCCTCAACTATTGAAGAGTGTAGATCCCTACTTAGCTGCAAATTTCAGAAGGACAATGACTTTAATCATACTTATCAATACAACAACCATATATCTATACAAAATCTTATTATCACATGAAATTGTTTGTACCTGCATCATGTAATATAAATTATGATATGACAGAAGCTGAGAACCCATAGGATCTTTTGTCACAAGGCAATGGATATAAGCCCTGGTGTAGTTCTTACAAACCTGTGGCAGAAGAAATAAACTAGAACAAATGCCCATATATACAAACAGATTATTAAATGAAAAAGTGACCTCTTACAAGCATACCATACAAGGGCAAGTAGGATCAATTGGACGGGTGTCATCGGCCATTTCTCTGTGTTTTAGTTTTAATACTCCCTGAAAAATTTCTGAAAAAAATAAGTTCAAAAAGAAATTGATGCATGAATGAGTGGAATTTAGTGAATTTATTTTCTTTTTTTTTTAAATCATTGTTCCAAATATATTAGAATTGGACCAATGTGCAATTGAAAAGTTGAATCACTTTAGTCCAATAGAGAGGCAACATCACCAGCCATTAAACCCAGTTTTTTCAATGTCATCAGATACACAAATGATTGCACCTTTCATAGCAATGCCCTAGTCCTAGTACAATCATTAGGAAATGCATGCTGTATGGGTAGGATAAACACAAATATATTGTTGGGTATGGTTCATACTTCGCATGCTGATGAGAGCCCTTGTTGTCAGAATCAGCAGAAAGGAAACTAGGGTTCCGCACCCAGGTGAGCGGGCGGGGATGTGGGGGGCAGCGCCCCTAGGCGCGTAGAGTGTAACAACCCCAAACCCTGTAGCATGATATTGTCCGCTTTGCCCTGCGCACAAGCACCGTCGAGCTCATGGTCACCAGAAGAGGTATCCACACCCTTATAAGGCATGCTTCGTTCCCCTATCCAACCGATGTGGGACATTACATCCTCCCCCACTGGGAATACAACGTCCCCGCTGTACACACCGGTCCAGGGCCAGACTCTGATACCATAAAATGTAACACCCCGTTCTAGAACCAGTTTGTTAACATCGCATTATGATATTAAGCGCAGTTACAATCACATGGGATTTGCTCCCTCCTCTCTCTCCCTTTCTCCTCCTTCCTTGCTTCTGTTTCTGTCGACGGGAAAATGGGGGGTTTGGGGTTCTTTTTTGTGTTTTAGTCACTTAACATATGTTAAGTGACTTTAAGCGGGTATTGGTTCGTCTATCCATTTAACTCCAATAATTACCAAACTTCACCCAAAAGTCTGGAATATTATTCTAGGAATATTTCCACTTTTATTTTTATATTTTGGGCACTTTCGCCAGTACCCATTTATACTCCTTAATTTTCACTGAGTACACTTTTTAACTCCAAAGTGACTCAGATTCATTTAATTAAGCCTTATACTTAATTTTACTCACTAAAACATGCTTAATTATTTAACTACATGTAATTTGCTAATTAATTGGGTTAGGGCTATTATAGTCACCCCACCTTTTAGCGATTTTGTCTGCAAAATCAAGAACGTACCTGTTTTAAACTCAGGATACTGCCGGAGAAGCTCATCTTCCCGCTCCCAAGTGGACTCTTCAGGTGTCCTTCCTTCCCACTGGACTTTCACCATAGGAATAGATTTATTTCTCAGCCTCTTCTCATCTCTTTCGAGTATCTTCAGCGGCCCAACAGGAGTCTTCAAATTCTCCCGGATCTCAACATTATCAGGTTGAACCACATGAGAAGGATCAGCTACATATCTCCTCAGCTGAGAAACATGAAACACATCATGCAAATTTGCTAATTGCGGAGGTAAGGCAAGCTGGTAGGCAACCGGTCCCACCCTACGAAGAATCTGGTAGGGTCCAATGAATCTTGGACTCAGCTTCCTCACTCCCAGGGCTCGTCCAACACCCGTAACCGGTGACAGCTTCAGGAATACATGATCTCCCTCCTCAAACTCTAGAGGTCGATGCTTGAGATCATAGTAATTTTTCTGACGATCCTGAGCCTTTTTCAGACGATCCCTAATCATTTTGATTTGCTCAGTAGTCTCCTGAACAAAATCCAATCCAAACCGCTCTGTGTCTCCAACCTCTGACCAACAAGTAGGTGTCCTACACCTGCGACCATCCAAGGCCTCGTAGGGAGCCATACCCAGACTAGCATGAAAACTATTATTATATGAAAACTCAACCACCGGGAGATATCGATCCCATGCAGTACCCTGCTCCAGGGTGCAAGCCCTCAGCATATCCTCCAACGTCTGAATGGTCCTCTCAGTCTGTGGATGATAAGCAGTGCTCAGTCTCAACTGAGTGCCAAGAGCCTCCTGCAATGCTCCCCAGAAGCGAGAAGTGAACTTCAGGTCCCGATCACTAACAATGCTCTCAGGCACCCCATGAAGCCTCACAATCTCCTTCACATAGAGCCTAGCCAATCTCTCAGCAGAGAAATCTACCCGAACTGGCAAAAAGTGTGCGGATTTTGTCAATCTATCCACAATCACCCATATAGAATCATAACTATCCTGTGTTCGCGGCAATCCCACTACGAAATCCATGGAGATACTCTCCCATTTCCATTCAGGAACATCCAGAGGTTGCAACATGCCAGAAGGCTTTTGATGCTCAATCTTGACCTTCTGACAAATGAGACACTTAGAGACAAATTCGGCAATATCTTTCTTCATACCAGGCCACCAGAAATTAATCTTTAGGTCCTGGTACATCTTTGTAGCTCCCGGATGAACTGTGAAATGACCCTTATGGGCCTCTGTCATTACTTCTTCCGCCAACTGCCTAGGTACAACTACACGACCCTGATATAATAGTATACCCTCATCATTGCAGGATACACCACTCTGACCTTTCAGTCGTTTAGCACTTTCATTTTGCAGTTGAGCTTCTTTAATTCTGGTCATCAGTTCATTTTCAATGCTTGTGATTTCGATGCCACAAATTTTACATGGAAAGATTTTAGATAATTGCATATCTCTGAACCTCTCAATCACATCATAATCTCTAATCATCATGCTTGATATGCTCACAGATTTACGGCTCAGTGCATCAGCTACAACATTAGCCTTGTCAGGATGATATTTCAATTCAAAATCATAATCTTTTAGGAACTCGGTCCATCGTCGTTGTCTCATTTGCAGATTTAGCGCAACGGCCATAAAATCAGACATACAGGAGTGTGTAGCTCCTGAATCAAACAACACTTCAACATCCATATTATCAATATAAATTGTACCTTTCACTAGATTTGGAGCCTTCTCCGATTGTTGACGGTCCATGGTATATACTCTACCAACCGTCTGAGACTCTAGCATAGGTGGAACAACAGAGACAGGAACAGCAGTAGCTTGAACTGCCATAGTCCTCGCTTCGTTCTGAGGACACTGCCTGGAATAGTGACCGGATCTTCTACATTTAAAACAGATCACTTCACCGGTAGCACATGGACCTCTATGCTCCTTGCCACATCCCTTGCACTTGGGAGGAGGTCCTCTATCAACAAAATTCTTCCGAGTCCCGGGCTTTTTGAACGAGTCAAAGGGCCTATTCAAATTTAGCTTCTTGCCTTACATCTTTCTGTTCTTCCAATAACCTGAGCCCGTTGCTTTATTGGCGTTAGGTGCCTGGGCCCCAGAGTACTTCTTGGTTTGGGACACCTTGTACACTTCTTCTACCATCCTGCACTGATTTACAAACCGAGTGAACTCTCGGATGTCACAATTTGACATCTTCCGAGACATTTTCTCATTAAGACCCCATTGGAACTTGGAGGTCATTTCAGCCGGAGTGGGTAAGGCTCGCCCATAGTTGGCGTATTTCACCAACTCATTGAATTTTGCAAAGTATTGGTCAATTGACATTGACCCTTGCTTTAAGTCATTGTACTCATTCTGCTTCTGTTCCCTAGCCTCCCTAGGGAAATAGTTATCCAAGAACAATGTCTCGAACAACAGCCAGGTTATTTCCCGGCCTTCAGCTTCTAGGGGCTGTACGGTATTAGTCCACCAATCCTCCGCTTCTTCTTCCAGCATGTACACGGAGTAGATTAACTTCATTGCGTCAGGGCATCTCATCACCCTAAAGATTTTCTCCATCGCTTAGAGCCATTTTGCAGCCGCCATTGGCTCATAACCTCCCTTAAAAGAAGGAGGTTTGTGTTTTCGGAAGGCCATCAATCTTCTTTCCTCCACTTCATGGTCACCGACATTCTCAACTCGAGGTTGACGAACCTCGGTGTGATGACTACAACTTCCAGAATGGTGACTACCCTCACCTTCATTGTTACCCGCTACACCCTCTTCTTGTGAAGGAGGTGGAGAAGGCGTAGCGTGTGAGGAGGAGGAGTGGGATGCCGGTTCACGGGCCTAGGACCCCTCAACGTCCTCAACTCAGTCATCATTGCGGCCATGGCAGTCCGCGCATCCTCATTAGTTTTCATCAAAATTTCATTGGCATGCCGACTAGCCGCCAATTCCCTTTGCATATCGACCATAGTGGCCGTCACAGGTTCAGGTTGACCACCTGTTGCTCCACGACCACTTCTGGGCCTAACAAGAGCAGCCAAAACAGGTTCTGGCTGAGCATCAGTGTTTGATGGTCTGGGGTTGTTTCGGTGCCTCGTCATGTCACTACATATGTTACACAAAGAAGTGAGTTGATCAGGCCCACACTTAGTGATCACAAATGCAATAATCATAAAGAGTACTAAAACAACTATAAAGCATCAAACACTAAGCATACTCAACAATAGCTAACAGTTATTCCCCATGAAACTGCTCTGATACCAAATTGTAACAGCCCCAAACCCTGTAGCATGATATTATCTGCTTTGCCCCGCGCACAAGCACCGTCGAGCTCACGGTTTTGTTTCTTGGGACACCCCACAAAAGGCCTCACACTAGAAGAGGTATCCACACCCTTATAAGGCATGCTTCGTTCCCCTCTCCAACCGATGGGGGACATTACATCCTCCCCCACTGGGAATACAGCGTCCCCGCTGTACACACCGGTCCAGGGCCAGGCTCTACAAGTGGTATCAGAGCAGGGCCTCTCATCCAGTACGGTGTGGTTCGAGGACGAACCAGGCGGAAGCTGGTAGGCATGTAACATCCCGGGCGCTGACGAGGGCGGGGAGTGATCGCCGGTGCGCAAGGGCACGGACAAGGAGCGGCTCCTGGCAGGCTTCTAGGGACGGGGGTACATGAATGAATCGAATCAACACCCGAAAGAGAGGGATTCCAGAGACTGTGCTGGTATGGGACGGTACAGTTGGGAATGGCTTATAAGAATTAATTGGTACTACCTATACTAACAAGATGCATCTACTTTTTGGTAGCCTGGA